GCAGTTAGATTAACCTAAAACCAAATTAATCACTTCGGGTGTTACTCCCATCCATTTGCCCACAGTAGACCTTGTTTATTATGACTAAATCAGGGGAACCAGGTTAACTCATGTCTCTGTTGGCAGTGCTCCTGGGATATTGGAAGTAGGTTCATAGGTTTCTGTTGTTGTATGTATTAGAAAAGGTACTTGACCTTTATCTTTAAACATGTTGGCATAATTGTCCTTTTCTTTTAAGATGCTTCCACTGACAGATTTTTTTTTCAGGTTAAATTTTATGAAGTATCTGGGTGATTTTTTTGTAGTTCAATGATCATTCTTTTATTTATTTATTTGTTTTTGAGACAGAGTCTCACTTTGTTGCCCAGGCTAGAGTGAGTGCCGTGGCGTCAGCCTAGCTCACAGCAACCTCAATCTCCTGGGCTCAAGCAATCCTGCTGCCTCAGCCTCCTGAGTAACTGAGACTACAGGCATGCGCCACCATGCCCGGCTAGTTTTTTCTATATACATTAGTTGGCCAATTAATTTCTTTATATTTATAGTAGAGACGGGGTCTCGCTCTTGCCCAGGCTGGTTTTGAACTCCTGACCTCGAGCAATCCGCCCACCTCAGCCTCCCAGAGTGCTAGGATTACAGGCGTGAGCCACCATGGCTGGCCTTCAGTGATCATTCTTAACATCATTCATATTAAAAATTTTTGAGGTCTAACTGAAATCCTTAAAGGGAAGAATGAAATTGTTTTATGGTTTTGTTATTTTCTACATGTGAGCTTTTAGAGGAATTATTTGGGTCTTTCTAAAAAGACTTGAGAGTTCATTTTGAGACCAGCTGTCCAGAATTGAAATGTTTTTCTTTTAACATCAGCTTCATGGGTGGTAACCTGGGTTTCAGGAGCTCTGTGTTCTAGCCTGATTATGCCAAGATTAGACTTTGACAAATTGTTTAGTCTTAGATGGTTGCCTATGTGACTTTTTGCTTTAAAAATTTTATATTTAATATAACCATTTGTCACTGGAATTAGTGTGTTATGAAAACTACCAAGAAAGATTCTCAGATCCTATGTTGTTTAGCTAATTTATTTGAATCAGTTCTGAAGAAGCTCCTCTTATAGATGCATTTTTAAATTTACAACAGGAAACTTTCTTATTCCCTGGAATTTCATGAGTGAAGCAGGCTCCACATTTCTATTAGTGTTCTTTAGCCCCATGAGGGCTTGAGCAGAGAGTCAGGGAGCCCTGGGGGCTGAGAGACTAGTCTGGGGTCTGAGCCTATCCTGCACCCCTTCCCAAAGGAAATTGACCTTTGCATGGTACAAGTGAGGGAGGGGAAGCTTACTTAAAGCTTAGGGCTTTTTCCATATTGGTTGGTGTATGTATGTATGAGTTGGTGTATGTATGTATGTATGTATGTATGTATGAGTGGATGGGAGTGATTTGAAAATTCTTCCTATCTTTTCAGTAGAACATATGATGAAAGTTAAGGTGTTTTCTTATATTCTTAATAGTATTAGGAGGAAACTGTTTTTGTTGCTGTAAGTTTATTCCAGTTTTATGATTGGGTGTCAATACCTTGAACTCCCTGGAATAAAAGCATTATACAAACAGATAACATCATCATTTTTTAAAATTTATTTTGATTTATTTGAAGATTTCACTTGTTTTAGTTATTCCTGTTCCAGTTTGGGATCATAAAAAAAAGGCAGTGTGTTCAAAATTCAGTCCCAGTTACTGACTTGTAATTTAAGTTGGCTTACATCTCAGCACAGAGAGATTGATTATCTATCAGTTATCACACGGTGACTAGTATTTAACTCTGCTCAAGTCAATCAGCAGAAACAGCCATTCTCTACACCCATGTGAGCCAAGAAAGCAAGAGAGCCATCAATTGCAATATTAGCAGTAGCAACCAGCTGTGAGTGCCATCGATCTGCCATACTGTTTATCAAATGTCTCCTGAGGGGCCGGGCGTGGTGGCTCACGCATGTAATCCTAGCACTCTGGGAGGCCAAGACGGGTGGATTGCTCGAGGTCAGGAGTTCAAAACCAGCCTGAGCAAGAGTGAGATCCCG